AACCAAAAAAGATTATGACAGTAAAACTGTAAAGATTAAAGAAATAGGATGTTCCATGCTGTTTCTGGACTGAACTGAAAAAGTAAAGAAATGAATACTTTAGTTCTATCATCATAGAAAGTTTAGCAATGTAGTGTAAATGATAAAATGCGACTGATGTTTGTATACGGGAGTATAAAAGTGCCCAAAAAGTAATAAATTAAACAAAATTCTCTTGAGATTTGAAACTGTAACTGTTTGAACATACAGACACGTCGTAATGTTACAGCCAATTTATTTTCCTTTAATTCAATGATCATATTTGACTTGAAAGTCCGTTTCGACGAAAATAAAGAGAGTATCAAGAAAGTATGACGAAGATTTCCTAGCTTCTAAGTATAGTTCTATTTACTTTTAATTTAGTTTATTTATCTAGAAGTTTTTTTTAGAATTATCATTATAATTGTGCTTTTCAATGAAACACCACTTTTATTTATATAACAACAAACAGCACGCAATTCTATGCATGACTACAGGATGTTCCCAATTACTCAGCAATTTAGTGGGAATTTTACACCTTTGTTATTGTTAGTTATAAAATAGATATTTTATTTTGCTATACTATAAATGTTATAAAACATATTTATTTACTTTGGACATATGTGACGTTATTAGAAAAATTGGTGGATCATTATTACTGAAGAGTTAAAATGGAAATGGGATACTGGTAAAACAAAGCTTAATGCATGAACAAATATTTCCTAATTCAGTTTATTTGAATATTACGAGGAGATGAAATTCGATGTATTATCTCTTCATCCGTATAATATGGAAACTAATTATTTATCATCTTTGAATACTTTTATATGCAGAGTCTATTATGCCAATGTTATACTTATATGTAGTAAAGAGAATTTACTATATACTTAACTCGGGCCCGTGATCACGGTTGCTGTAAAGAAACCGAAATGTTTCGATTATGTAGATAAACAATAATAAAAAAAACTCGTTTAAACAGAAAAACTTAGTTTCATTATTATGGATAAAAGAAAAAATCTTAAATATCACTATAATTTATGATATTCAAAGTATTTTTTTTATGATCATCCCTTTCATCGGTATCCTAAATCTATATTTGTTTCCTAAACAAATAAGTGTTTATGCGTTAATTTTGGGACATTCCTGTCTACAAAACGTGTCCTTTTACCATTGCCAAATATACTAATTAGGAGGTTTAACCAAAAAAGTTTTTTACAGAGAACATCAATCAAAGTATTCTAAGTTTGATTTTACATTTATATACACGTACATTTTAAAAATATGATTGTATGTACAGATACTAAGATAAGATAAATAGGATAAGATAGATAAACTACAGGAAATGTTTCAATAATAAAGAAACATGTAACAAAATACAAGAAGTCTATCTAAAAGTCATGGCTTTATTAAAATAATAGAAAGATTTTTATGACCAAATCATATATGCCTAGAAAAATAGGCAATCATGTATTTATAGGATTTCTTTCTAAACCTTATTAAAAATTACATACGTAACTTTTTATATCTTTTTGTAACTTATAACACTTTCGTTACTATAATAAAAAATACAAAATTAATCTTTTATAAGACTTGAATGTTTTTTCCTCTACACTTAATATAGAAATTGAATAAATTTAGTGAATTAATTAAATCGTTTTCTGGAACCGATTAAACGGGCTACTTGGAAACATAATATCTACTATTCTAATTATCTTTTAATATATTAACCAGAGATGTATATATATTATTCGTTCTAAATAGTTTGAGTATGGATAAACTAATTATTTATTAATGTCAATATACAATAAGTTATAAAAAATATTAATCAATAACATAAAAATCAAAAATAACATTCGAAATATTTTCTATTGAAAAGATTTTGATTATTATAAAAGAAAGCAATTTTAATTGCAGAATTTATCATACACAGTAGTAATAAAATTTTACCCTATAATATGGAAATTTGGATCAAAATAGAATTCTTTAAGAACTCATAACCTATGCAAATTTTGTATGACAAACAGACATACAAACAAGGAAATACCCATTGGTTAAACAATGTTTGCATCGATGGAATAAATACCTTTCAAGGTGAACCGGTGTCTGAATTGGATTAAAATGTCAAATAACTCGATTTTATTATTATAAAATTGTATAAACGTCAATAATATAAATAATATTATTAAAAATTGACGAATACAATGAAAGCAAAGTCAAATTTTGCATATATATAAGGTAATGTATAAAATTACCTAAAAAACTGTCCTTACCAAATAATTACGATTTTCTATATAAAATATTAATATTTCGTTCCGTAACAATAGGAACAGAAAATCATTAATAACATTTTATAAATAGTTTAAGTAAATATATCTTTAACTTTGTCTTTATTTAGAATATCTGTCAGTTTTCCTCATAATTATCAAGCCATTGTTCTTTTAACATTTACTATTCTTAATACATAAGTAAATTAATAATAAAATTGGTTTATTAATATAAAAGAATACATATTATTATGAGGCAAATATTATTCTTAATAGTTACTAAATGAAAACGTATAAAAAGACCAATTCGCTGAATATCCCCTACGGAGTTTTGGCTAACTTACTTCAATAAATAAAAATTAATGACAATAAAATCGTTTATATGAATAAAAATGTATAATATATATGTATATACAAACATATTTTTGTCGAATAAACCAGGTACCCTTGTAATAAAGTAAAAGTTAACCACAAACCAACATAAGAAATGAAAGCTATATAAAATTTTAAAGTAATTTCATAATTATAATTACTGTTTATACTTAAAAAATCTTTGATATAGAGTTAAATACGAGGACAAATATTACAAAAAGTTTAAGTAATACTTTTTTAAGAAAATACCTAAGACTCTTGTATAACGAAGACTTAAAATATATATCTTATATACATACCTAAGTTATTATTAATTTATCTATTAAACACGTTTATAAGAGTACTATCCTATTGTTAAAGCATTTTAAATCTCTTTTAGAAAAATCTTCTTTAACTGCTAAAGCTTACGATTTCGACTTAAATAAGACTAAAATCAAAACCTAATTAGAAACAGAAAGATATATATGTTTGGACCTGTTTCTAGGTTCCACGTAAGTCAGTTAACTAGAATACATACATATGTAATTGAGAAACTCAGCTTTCTCTTTAAGCCCTATGCCTCACTGGTAAGTAAAATTTATGTCATTCTTGTATATTCAAGACTCATATAAATTAAAAACTAGATAAAGAAAAATTAATTCTCAAAAGAAAAGCTAATATGATAGGATCTTCTATGAGAACGACGTACTTCCCCGGTCGAGCCAGCTCATGTTCGAGCTATAGTTACTTGACCACAGCTAGGCTCTACCACTGTGTACCAAATGGGAGACAATTAATGATTACCCACCTTTATGAAATGCCTTTACCCACTCTTTTAGCCAATATAGTGTTATATACATTGTAGTAATAAAATTTTTGAAAATATCTTTACATATAAATTATTTTGTAACAAAAAACACATAGTGTTAACATAGAGACATCTTAGAAACAAAAACGTTATAAATAAACCAAGTGATAAACCCTCCTAGGCCATTAAAAGCCTCTTTGACGATCCGTTAGGTCACTGCAATCAATTAACTATACTCTATAGCCATCAAAAAGTTACTACCAATCAATATAATTAAGGTTCTGTACAAATAAAACAATGAATTCATAAGACTATATCATATTTATTATTATTATAATTACATTTTACTATTACGTATTTTTTAATTCCGTATACGTAAATATGTATATTTAATGACGTAAGAACAATCAGCATCAACAGATCTTGTTTTTAGGGAACTCCAAAATAATGAATTCGCGAACTTTCAACGCACGGACAACGGTCCACGCCAGTTGTGTATCAGATGTCAAGATAAAAAGACGTATTTTAGAATCAAGTGAGGAGTGAGCTTGATTAATATTAATAAAAAAAATACTCCGTACTTAGTGTCTAGTGAATAGTTGAAGTTACTAGATTATTGCTAGTGCCATTCGGTGTCCCACTGTGTTTTATGTTGTTTGATCAGTGATAATAAATTGAATGACTTATGAATTTTAAAATAAGACAATAAGAAGTTTAAGTGCACTTAATAATATTAAATTTGAATTATAAATGTGATTAAAATTTAAATAACTTCGCTACAATGAATACAGTCATTTGAGTGTGTAATAAGTTTTTATAAGAATTTACAGTTTTATAGTGTTTATTTTATTAATTTATCGTAAACACAAATATCTTAGTATCGGTAAATCTGTGCAAACCAGTTTTAAATAACACGACTCGACTGACCCATCAAAGAAACCTAACAGTTTTTTTTTATTTTTATTCATATATATCTTTATATGACATCCTAATCACTTAACGTTGTCTCTACGAAACTCCCAAAGTGTAACGATCTAATTACTTAATAACATATTGGGGCTAAGCACATTTTAATTACCAACAAATCGTGACATAACGACCGTACATTACAACGATTTGATTAAAATAGAATTCAAAAAGATTGAATTCATATTTTTATAAACAAGGAATTCCCTGTTTGAGTAATGTGTACGAATACCTGTGAAGTTTTTATTTACTGTGACAATTCATTTGGAAACCGTCACAGTTGTATAGCATTTGAACTGGAATATTAAATACGAGGGCACTGATTGAAAAAAACAACAATGCTAAAACTGATAATATTATTTCTATTCGTCTCAATAAGTGTTTGTGAATTGTGTGAAATATCAATAGATATAACGAATGGTACACATCTGCGTAACGGTGATATTGTTCATAATGATTTTAAGTATAAAAAACATGAATACTACAAAAGAGGAAATTCAATTAGAGGTTGTATATGCAATAAGAAGATATGCCTTTTAAAATGCTGCCCGTTTGGATACGGTTATGACATGAGCTTGAAAGAGTGTGTACAGACGAGTACAGCCTTTGAACCACCCGTGTATGATAACTACGCTAATTTACAAAATGTCAAAGTCATGGAGTATTTCCACTTCAACTTCTCAAAACCTATATGCGCAACTGATGAAATCCGGGTTGAAATCAAACAAGTCTTCACAGATATACACCTGACCAAAGTAAGTTGGTAATATTATTTGATTACTATAAAAAGTAAGTTGGTAATATTGTTTGATTACCATAATATTTTCCTTTTCGTACTTATTAAGTTCTCACAATGACGCTTCAAAACGTTAATATGCACACAAAAAATGTCTACTTGAAATATACAATAGAATAAATCGAATAAAAAAAATTAACTCGGAAAAACCATTTACGAGACATGGTATGTAAAAAAATTAAGAAAAAACTTGTGTGGTTTTATGTTTTCTTGTATAATTCAATTCTTTTTATCTTAAAACCTTCATATTTTTTTCTTATTATATAGCAATTATCTGTTCACGTTAGTTGGAAAACAGGTATTATTAATTAGTGGAAATATTTTTGATTTGTTTTGTATTTATAATTGAGTAAAATCAAGCTTTTTTACTATGTTTAAAAAGATTGTTCTCTATTGCTATAAAGAACCATCTAGCACAAATTAAATACCAAAATCTAGAATTAAATAGCTATAATAATATTTAGAAAGTAAGAGACGAATAGAAGCATCTTCTATAAAAAATAATTAATTATCGTCAAGCTACTTTACAAGTCCAACTAACTGTTTAGTTTGAATCGACGACGAAATCTTCCGATTGGTTTCGGCCAAAGAATGAACTTGTATAGAAAACCTTTTTATAAAGTATAGAAAATAATAATAGTTCTTCATCATAAGTCCTAGTGATTTTCCTATACAAAAAGGCAGTATAAATAAAAAATGATACTAGGTTCCAGTGTACAAACAAGTTTAAAGACATGTATATGTAAAATATGTGGTTTCTATATATGAGTGCTTTATGTATTTCAAGCTAAATTGTTTCTTATAGAACATTATTTTGATTTCACTCAATTCATCTAAAGAATAAATTGACTTACCTTAAATAAAATTCTACGTACCATATTAGAAGACCCTTTTTTTAAGGGGAAAATCATCAAATGATCCCTCTTGTCCTGGGTGGTGCAAGAGGGAGAGTCAGACTCCTACTAACTAAAAACGCCCGTACCTACTCCTGTTCCGAGCCTGGCCGCGGTACAACATTTTTTCAATAAATTCATCTAAAGAATAAATTTACTTACCCAACTTTTCAATACAAAGTTCTACTTACCATATTAAAAGACCCTTCTATTATAACTAGATGTATGGAAACCATATGGCTAAATGGTTCAAAATTAAACTAGGCAGATAATAAGCTAGATTTAGCGTTATTTCATATGCTTCCGATATTACCGTGAGCTAGATAAATTGTGTAATTGGTAATTATTTACCGCTAACTTTATCAGCGAAGCGATAATAGAATACGAAAATATATTGTTACCTATCTTTGATAGATAATTTTAAATGACAGATATTAGAAATGTTGTTAGGAAACCGTGACAGCGATCAAATACTATATTTTTTTATCTACTTGTCTGTCTCTCAGACCTATTGGTTCTAATCATCAGGTAAGGAGAATTTGATAGCACCAATAGCTATACGCCAATCAAATATATGTACTGAATTGAAGGTAACCTATACATAAAAACAGTACAATATGTTTTACACAATAAATCATTATATATAAGAAAAATATTTGTTTGTTGTCCTTTAAACAGTGCAATATAATAGTATCTTTAATTAAAACTACGTTTGAATTTCATAGAGTTTTATCTTTGTTATTTTGTAGGCAAATAAAAAATATATAAACTATTTATTACAAAATATATATAAAAAATTTTTTTGGTAACCTTTATATATAATCAAAAACAACTCATAATTTAGACCAAAATAAGTCCCTACACAAATGAGGTGTTAGTAATCACGGCATTTGTATATTATGGCATTTGTATATTACTTTCTTCTATGAAATCATTTAGTAATTTAATGATATTTATCAAATGATAAGGTGGATGTCAATTTATATAAAATATATTGAATTTTGTCTAATAATATGAATGTCAAAGTCAGTGGTGGCCTAGTGGTTAAAGGGCCCGTCTTTCGTTGGCGAGGGCGCGGGTTCGATCCTGGCCCGGGCAAGTACCGATGTGATTTTTCCGAGTCATATGTACTTTCTAAGACTATTTCGACATCACTGATTTATGTTGATTCCCAAAAAGAGGGTTGATATCAGGCAGGCGGCCGGTCGTAAAAACAAATAGCCAAAACTATTCACAACATGTAAGGCAGACCCTGGCTATAGCTGGGAGATTGCCAGGTAGAAGAAGAATATGAATGTGAAAGTTATTTTATCAATGATCTTATCAAAAAAATCTATATATTTTTTTAATCAGTAGTTCCTTAATGAGATCTAAGACTTTCGCGAGTATTCATTTAAATGAAACTAATATTTTTCGGATTATTTTATTATAGTTTCATTTAAGTAGTTCCTTACTTACAACATTGCATTTAACAGGCTTTCATCTAAATGATATTTTAAACAGCAAAATTATAAAAAACAAGGAAACGCAACAAATTATTTACTTTTATTTACTTCAAACACATTTTAAGTGACTAAGAATCTTCCACCCAATATTATGACAAATTCTAAAATAAACAAGTGCATGATAAACCAGTTCTTCCAATAAAATGCGTTTATTTTTAATAAGAAATTATTTGAGTGACATCAGTTTTCATTGTAATACAAACATAAATTATTCAAAACGAGCCATCGTATAGAATATTAAGTATGGCATTTTATAAAGTTCTTTAATAGTCTTATAATTTTTTTTTCTCCAAGATAGCAACATAAAGATACAAGAACAGGTCTATATTCGTACAGAGTAACCGAATTAAATTCTTCATATTGGGTAGTCGTGTAAAGACAATGTGTCATAAACAAATTAAAGTAGTTAAGTATTTAAAATTTATTATCAAATCCATATAAGTGATGTATAAAATAAATTGTATAGATGATTATATTGACGTGCGTATTATATACACACAAAGGTGTGATAAAACTATTTCCTGTAATACACCCAAATAGACTAATTTACATATTTTTTATATACTACGGCTTCATTCGTGCAAATATATATAAGAAAAGACAGTTAGGTAAAGACGGTAAAAATGTTAGGCACATATGTATGTATATTGATACATGTTTTTCCTTTAAAAAACGATAAATCTATTTTAATGAAACTAATTTAAATCTTAGATCTCATTACGATAATTCTATACCTAAAAACATTTTTGCAGGACTCTTTAACTCTAAATATATTAAACTAATTCCAAATATACAAACTCTTTTTAGGGAAACTCTTTAAGTTTGTCAATATATATACAACCTTTTTTGAGTTCGTCAATCCTAATCTTATGATAATTTTTAAAACTTCTTCCTCAGGATGGCAAACTGTACGTGAACGTCCCAAGCACTATACCGCCATTCATGTTATACGAACCGGATAAATACTGTGTGGATACATTTATAAGTGAGGGTGAAGATGGGGCTGTCACAGAGAGCTTCGACGCCCTTATATGCTTCGCCACGGAAAAAGAATCCAACCATTATGTGTTGAGCTCTACTTGTAAGTTTATTTATTGCTTAATAAGACTTAAATTTGTGCCAAAATAACTAAAACGCAATTTACAAAGATACTCGTATTTATTCATCTTTACAATTTTAAAAATAGAGTCATTATAATATTATTGAAATTTTCAATAACAAATTTAAATTATGAATTACCTAAATTGGAAAAGAGGAGAGATATAGTCTCTGTACATTATTCCACATAGCTTCAGAAGATACAACAGTTTATATAAGTGTTGTCAAATCTTCGATTATACACATTTTAAAAAATCAGTTACTTTACTTATTTATAATTTCATATCTACATAATCCATACGTTTTAATTCCTTTACAGCAACCGTGATCACGAATATAGATCAAAATGTATTTTATAGATTTAAAACAACAAAAAGTGTATCCCATAAACTTAGTTTAATTAACATTAAGTGTATATTTTTCTAGGTATGATAATATCATGTGTGTTCATTCTGGCCACCGTGGCCGTATACGGCTGGTTGCCAGAACTTCGCAACCTCCACGGCAGGGTCCTAATGGCTTACTTGCTATGTTTATTCGTCGGGTTTGCCTTCCTTGCAGCGATGCAGATATTACTAGTCATAGATAACATCAGCACAGATTGCTGTATTGCCTTCAGTGAGTATATAATTTAAATAAAGTTTAATTTTCCTTACAGGATAAATATGTATTAGAATTTAGTGAGTAATTTTTAAATGATGATGTGTATGTTATATAAAATCTATCTCTAACATAGGCCCTAGTAGGTCTTTTCAAATTTGGTTAGGTAGAGAGAGGAGCTTGGACAGTGGAGGTGAGCGTTTAACGCTTGTTAGATAGGGCTCCCTTAAACCTACACCTGGGTCGCAAGTCCCAGGCACTGTTGAAGCTCCTCTCCCTGCAACGCGATGGACCCGACACTCGCACGATGAATCGATTGAATGCTAAGAGGTTTCGTCTCATATTTGATTACACGAGACGTAATAAATTCATAATTTTAGTGTATAACGTCATTTGAACAATTATAAAGGTTAAATTTAACATTTATTTAAATAAAACAAAAAATATGTGCCTATACATACGTTCGTTCATAATAATTATTTTTCAGATAATATGACATAATTAAAATAAAGATTCCTTATAAAAGAACATTAATTACAGTACAAATAACAAAAGTAATTAAATGTTTTATTTGTAAGACAAATAATAATTTAACGATCTTTTATATCTCATATATTTGTATGTAACATATTTTATCTCACGTTTTGGCATCATTTTAACACAAGATGTTAATATTTTGGTAGTCTTTTTATTAACATGTGGCGTTCCGACCTTCACAGCTCGTTGGCAAATGGATTTCTTATCAGGGCCTAATTTATTGATATCTAGTACAACCAAAAATGCATGACGATGCTATCTATTTGAAAGTTTTATGCGAAATGAATATAATATTTTATCTCTATACATACTCACGCCGGTGGTTCCGCTTGTGTTTCTCAGTTTATTTTAGTGAAACAATTTCAAATATTCTTAACTTCAATTAATGGTTTTCTTGATAGTAAATATTTCGTGGATTCTTGATGTTTTAAATAATAAAATTGCATCCCTGCATTTTTCCATTACAAGTCTCAAACGAACTCCCAATACGTTATCTAATTTAAAATATCTTAAGCTTTTTTTCCCATACAAATCGTGTTCCTAATATTTTAATAAAAATATCATTCTTATAAAAAAATATAACATAATTGATTATATACGTTTTATATTAAACATAAAGGAACTCACTATTTTTTGATTTTTTTTATATACCATTTTTCCTCATATATATAAATTCTATAATTATATGATATACAACTCTAAATATGTATGATCCAAGAAATAAACATGTTTTAACAATATAATTATTTAGTTAATACGTTGTTAAGAATTGATACCAAAATATACTAGTACATATTTATTTTTAAACATAAGTCTTACATACTTCATTTTAATTAAGTAAATCAAAGCAAAACTCTTAACAACATGATAGTATATTGAAATGAAGAATATTATAATAAAGTTTTTATTATAAATCTCTATAAATATTAAATATTTGCTTACGTCAGATGTCCCATTTAAATTCTTTACGCCTCCAACTTACGCACTAAAATAATGAGACTATTTTTCCTAAAATAATGACGTAATGATTAAATAGCTGCTACTATTTGTTTTACGAGTCATCTCTAGTTATACTATCTTTTAATTTATTTCTACTTTATATATAGATTTATTTATTAACTTAGAAACGTAATAAAATTTAAATAAGTCGAATACTATTCTTAAAATGAATGAATCGCTGGGTAATTCATGCTTCCCTTAGATGTTCTGATACAAATTACTATCATCATGTCGCGTCCCTCCTTTAGATTCATATTTTTTTACTTTTATTCTATAGTTTCTTAGGATATATTCTATATACAGAAAGTAACAAAAGACGATAAGAAGAAAGAATAATAAAATCAAATGTAATATTTATTTAAACCGAATATGGCCAGCGAAAAGAGAGAAATAATGTAAACAAACATCCACATTATAGAGAAATCTTTATATTTAAAAAAAAAATATTCAAAAAGCAATATATATATATGAATGAAACTAGATTGACGACCACACAATATATGTACATTAAATTTTATGAGTCAGCACATAACAATGCATAACAATCAGTACAGTACTGAGAGCAGATTACTAATTACAGCATTATGTACTTTAAAGCTATTATTTATCTCTTAATACGTGTAACATGTTCATACCTAATACAACATTGTCACGGTTCTAATACACTAACTGTTATTACACTTTGACATCTCTGGTTTATAATAAATATAGGTACATAATTATTCCCCTATTGAGAAAAATATGTGTTTATTACGCATCCATAGCGCCTTCAAAATGTTCTCTTATTAATTTTAAGCCTTTTAAATCCACGAGTTGTTTTATTAACATATTAATCATTTCAAAAATCATGATAAATCAAGATATTCTGTGAATATAGAATCAAAGGTGGTTCAAACAAAAACGAGAACACAAAATCAGTGAACAAACAAGCTGAATACTAAGTAACTTAACTATTCGTGTCCACGTGTAATAAAAATACCAAACACTATTAGATTACATTCGACAAAAGACATATCCCCAAACAACTTTTTGGAACAGGAAATATTCAATATTTAAGTAATTTTATTATCATCGTGACCTTTTTTTAGATGTCTTAAGTCTATTATGAGTATTATAGAAGTAATGTTATATTATTAATTATATAAATATTAGTATTGTTAAAATAGATACTTGTAGACGTGATGAAATCTGTTTGGTTTTCTTAATGTCAATCAATATTTTCTTACTTGGAACTATAGAACGAATGTTATAAAGATATAACCGTATCCATATATTAATTCGTATAATAGGTTTTTACCTATTTTTATACAAGAAAATTGAAATGAAAAAAGAACTTGCATCTAATTTGAACCTAATTGTTTCCTATTAGGTATTTCCAGTAAAGACATTTTTCTCACTAATTATATGTATTAAACACTATAAGTAATAAATGGTATTAATATTTTGCCCCTGACTATTATAACTCAAAGAGTAGAGTAGTGTTCTTATCATATCGATTTCCAAGTAAATTATATCAGTAATCAAAATTTAGAGCACACATCTTGAGTCAATTCAGTAAAGAACCGATGTACATTGAAATTTTAGTTATAACAACATTTGGCAGCTTAAAAAAGGATTCTAAGAAAAATTAGGAACAATTTATAGCCGTATGCTAATTCTTAACTCGCTAATAAGACATATTCCCCGAAACATTGCATTTATGACGGAAAATCTCTTTTGAAATCATTTAACAAATATTTTTTTATACTTGTATGTCCCTCGTTCACTCTTTGTGCTCCGACAAAAGTATTGTAGTAATGGCTTACATAATTTCTTTTCGCTTCACACTTGTATTACAAGAGTCTCTTCTTCTTTTTCTTATAAAAGAGAGCTTTAGCATACAATTTAATATTAAAATATAAGGGTCTAATAAAATTAATTGTTTAATTCTGCCAAAAATTTTACATTAATCTTTAAAAGTTTGTTTTTATATTTCAGCGATCATAATATACTTTGCTCTCGAATCTGCCTTTTTCTGGCTCAACGTCATGTGCTTCGATATTTGGTGGACATTCAGGTAAATATAAACTAACATTAAAAAATATGAAACTCAAAAAATAATGTTTACTTACAACACACGGCAATGCTCAAACAACACTTTACAAAGACAAAACTGGTTATTTATTCTACAAATAATATCTTCCAGTGGCAAACGCGGCATGACTATGGAGAAATTATCAGTAAGAGCAAAATTCTGTGCCTATTCTATTTACGCGTTTGGTATTCCTACCGCTTTGACCGTCATCTTGGTAGCGTTGGAGTTCTCTGATCTACAACCCCACATACTTCTACCTTTAATTAGAAGACAAGGATGCTTTTTGTTTGGTAAGCCATGTAATACTCTAGCAATCAAATATTGGGATTTCCAAAACTGTGTTATTTATATTTTTAACTATGTTTTTTCCTTATTTGGACTTTATCGAATATTTTTTACGATGTCAATATTTTAATTAATTAAACTTATGCTAATGTATTGCTTCTTTTTTATGACTTAATTTAATATCTTGTTACTTTTTTTATTGTACTTTTCCGAGGTGTTCAGATAGTATAAATCATTTATACAAATCAAATAAATTTCTTTAAAAAGATATTCTTGTCTACAATCATTAATATAAATTATTTAATATTTCCAGGCTACAGCAAACTCATCTACCTGTACGGTCCTATGGTCATCTTGTGGTTTGCAAACTTGATTTTCTTCATACTAACCGCCGTCAAAATAACACAGATTAAGAAACAGACGTCTGTTCTTAAGTCAAGGGAAAGCGCAACACATGATCGTCAGAATACTGAGAGACAGAGGTATAGCTTAGAAAATTTTCTATAGTAGCATTCCAAAAATATTGCTGATTTACCAAATATAGTACTAAAATAACTTAAATAAATCATAATCATTAGATGTTATGATCATGAATTGGTTTTATCTTACCAAGTATAACCAATGTCCACAGCTTTTACTATTTCTCCAGGTTATTCTTGTACGCCAAACTGTTCGTTGTGATGGGTGTGAACTGGCTTCTTGAGGTGATCAGCGCCTTGTATCCAAAAGCAGATGAATTCTGGAGATTCACTGACGCATACAACGTACTCATTGGTCTCATTATATTCATTATATTTGTATGTAAACGGAAAATCTTCAGACTCATGAAGAAAAGGTTAGTGTGAGGTTTGTTAATGTCATTTTATTTGGTGATAAATGTTTAGTCAAATAATTATTTTTTACCTAAATAGAAAATAAGGGTTAGTATTCATAAAATTTCATGTTATATAGGATAAAAGACGGGATTCGACAGAAAAATGGTACGATGGGCAGTATGACGAATATACAAAGAAATCAAACAAACCTTCAGAATTGCAAACAGAGAGACAGTCTGGAAACTATCAAAACATATTGCGCTGATTCAGACAGCAATAAAGGAATGAACACGACAAATTTCTAACAAAACAACAATATCGTCTAAATATGCAAAGAAAAATAATTGTAAAGAAATACAATTATAAAACTGAAAAACCTCATAAAAGATATTTATTATAATTAAATTGATCTCATAATATACATAATAAAAACTTTAAAATATTAAAAGAAAATGATTTTTGAACTTAAAAGTATTGACAGAGATATATGATGAAACGGCTCCTTATACCGTTGTTATGAAACACTTCTAATTTCTGAGAGACCTATGTCCAGACTGTCAGATTCTGTAACTTTATCTTAAAGGAAGTTTTTCAAGAACATTCCATGTCAGGGAAATGATTGAAAGAAAAAAATGAAGGTATAACGAAATTCAATTTGGAGCTTTAAAGAAGAAACTAAACTGCCATTAAGTAGAATAATTATTAACACTGGGATTCTGTAGCATTATAGTGATTTTACAGCTTTGGTTTTATTTGGGTTCGGCGGCTTTTTACGGATTTAAATCGGCTTTTCGGATTTTCAACTTTCTGGTGTTCTTATTAACAATTTCGCACTAATTTTTTAGGAAATGCTTCGATTAATTTTCTTATAACTTACTTTTGTTTGAGTATAATTTAATCAATCATTACTAGTTATAATATAAATAGTTTCTGATTACAGATACAAACAAGTACGCGGCGGTTCATTAACGAAAAGCCAATCCTCAACAAGAACTTACTCTACTCGGGACGACATAGCTTTGAATTCAAGAATTAATTAATAAAACATTATTATTTCATTTATCACAAATTTTATAGTAATGCTAGAGATTCTTAAAAATATATTCATCTAAATGCTAAAATATATTAGTTAATGATAAGTTAAGTGATATTCTTTATAGTAAAAAGTCTATTTAATTTTTATGAGCAGCTTCGACAAATGTATGGACTAGTCTCGAAAAGACATCACTATAGAATTAAGTTATTTTTATGTATCTCTATGTGTAATCGCACTTATGTTAAGTTACATTTTATGTAAATAGCTGTCACATATCAATAAAATAAGGAAATTTATATAATATATTTGAATGAATGATTTTGATTGTATAACTTTTTACCACGAAGGGAGTTTTATGCACTTTTCGGTATGTACTGATATTTTTATATAAATGTGATCTAATGCTTTTACGTATATGAAATTTTTATACACGAATTAGTGTGATTGATTAGGTACTTTACTATCAGTGAGTGGTGTTATATAAATTGCAATATATTTTTGTAATATATATTAGAAATTAATCATTTCAAAGGTAATCTACTAATGAGATCTAAGATTTTTGCGAGTACTCATTTAAATTAAACTAGTATTTTCGGATTTACTAAGCGATTTTTTATTTTCGACTATAAACTCCATACTCCCGACGTTTTGGTTACTTTACAGCAACCGTGATCATTAAGACGAGATGTGAGATCTCACAGAGTATGTAGTTTATAGTCAAAAATAAAAAATCGCGGAGTAAATCCGAAAATATTAGTTTCAGGTAATCTACTGTTATATCGCCATATTGAAGAGATCTGATATAATTCTCTGAATACTATTTTACTTGAAAACTCCTGAAATTTACATTATTTTACCTTAAAAAGTTAGCATTTGATGAAGATTGGTGCTCTCTATAAATAATTACCTTTTAAAGTCTATTCGATAATCACTGATGAATGAAATGAAATGTATATTCCACTTTAATTTTTTTTACAATGCACTGATAAATATAATAATGCAAATTTTAAATTATACTTCTACCTCAGTATATGTATTTTATTGTTGATCCCAATACTTTAAAAATAATACACGACTTTAGAAAAGCTACACAAAAGACATTTCAAATTTGGAAAAACAATCTGGATAATAAGTTCAAATTAAAAAAAAGGAAATAGAAATAATGACTTCGTAATTTATATCTTGTACTAAGAAGATTTTAAATTTTTAATATATTATTTAAGATATCTAAAAATAAAGTAATACATAGACACACTAAAATTTTACTTTACAATAAACGCTACCTGTCATAAATTACAGTACCTACTTAGGAAGCTGGGTAAAATTTTGAACAATTGACCATTACTACTAGCGTTATCTGTTGGAACACCGAGTTATCCGCTCAAAGTAAGGTTGGTTAAAATAGTGTATTTGTTGTATATTCGGTATCAAACAAAGTAACTTCAAAAGGTTTTGTTGAGAAACTTCGTAATATGGTTCAGACAGAAAATATAACACTGTGCGCGGGTAAAACTGCCACGACTCAACTGCGCCATCTATGTACATATGAAAATTAAATTGTTATGCCGAATTCTAGTTAGAACGAAACGGAATTATAAAGGATTAAATTAATAATTTTTTCTTTCTTATTTTCTTCCCATGTTAGTGTCTAAAATTTCATTAAAATCCATGCAGAAAATATGCCTGAAAGAATAAGTAATATCCACAAACCTATATAAATCATATCCTTTAAAAAGATATATACCTAAAGATGATTTTCATCTTTTAAATGAATAAAGGTCTTTAAATTTCATATATTTAATTTTACGTAGCGTTTTATTGCTTTATAATACTTTACTATTCAGTGAAGGGTGACTTAATACGAAATCCTACTTTCATGCGTCGTTCCACAGGGATTAAATATGTTATCATTATAGCCTACGTGTTAATGTGATGTATAAATTTCAGATAGCAATAATTTTCAAAACTATTTCACACTTTTGCGTGGATAAAAATGCCCATAGTGATACCTAAAATTCCATTAATCATGACGAACTCTCGCATTTATAATATGACATACTTTCAAATTTATTTAGGTAGAGATAGGAGCTTGGACGGTGGAGGTGAGCGTGTAATGCGCGTTAGATAGGGCTCCCTTAAACCTACACCTGGGTCGGAAGTCCCAGGCACTGTTGAAGCTCTTCTCCCTGCACCCACACGGTGAATCCATTGAATGCTTTATTGTAATATTGGTTGTTATTGTTGCTAAATTATTCAATCTAACAAATCTGTAATTAAAAAGTGATTATTAATATTATTTCTCAACACCAGATCACTGGTTTCTGAACAATCGTAGTTTGAAATCTAACATGAAAAATTTATGACGACTATTACTGTCTTCTTGCGATTCCTGCAGTTGGCATTTTTGATAGACATTAAGATAAAAAAACCCAGCATTGTACTACGTTGCGATAATATAATAAATTTCAATTTTTATTTCAATAGTTAATTCCGTCCAGGCAAAACAGTTGCATTTAGTAGGCAATTTTCCTGTAAATGTATATATTTGAGGTAATTTTCCTGTTCGTCTTTAAACCGTATGTCCTTATTTTAATGTTATTGTTTTTCTAATGTAGTTGAATTGTTTAAGTTTTTATTACAAACCGTTTGAAACCATCTGGGATTTAATACACACTTTAAGATTTAAGTTTTTGATGAAAAAGACTTGAAATAATATCATTTCTTTCAAAGACAGTTTTTTCATGAACAAATCGTATAAATTAAGATACAAACTTTATGAAAAAACTAGTCCTTCAATTTATTTAATTTCGTTATTGAAATTTTATAACTACGTTTAAAAATTAGGTAAAAAAACTATACAAAACAACATACATGTACAGTGAATCAATACCTAATTTTAATACTTTCTTGGCATCAAAATACAATAAATACGTTATTTAGACGAGATGTTTCAATATATATAATAATTATATTATACGTGACTGTATTTTGAGAGTAAAATAATTTAATACTCAGTGGAATATTCGTCGAAACATCTAGAAACATCGAGGCATGCGTGATGCTGTGGTGCAGTATTGATCCACCACAGTGAATGTGATGCCATCTCTCTCACATTACATCCGCCTCAGGTGATCTAGAACATATCTAGGATGTCTGACAAGCTACAAATTTATCGACCTATATATACATACAGTTATTAAAACCACCCCATACATTTTCACTGTTAATAACTTCATTATATTCTGTTATTAATTTACGAAAGCTTTTAACCCAAACATCTTATCGAATGTAGGATAATTGTTGCTTTTAAAGTATTTACCCTTTTATAGTTAGAATAAATTTCAGGTATATACAAAATATACTAATATAGTAAAATTAACTTATAATATTTTCCTTTTTAATAATAATTGTAGAAGCTTAAATCAGAGTTCTGTGTTACCATTTAAGAGTAAATAAATTGAGAAAAACAGTCACTTATCGTACATATTATAATTCTTATATTTTATTTAAGTCATTGTTTTATTTAGATGCACAACAGTTAATACCATCTTCGATAGATTGGTATCAAGTCTTTGATAGTACCTATATAGTAAATATATTTAACTATATATTCAAAGTACCTATATAGTATAGATATTCAAAGTACCTTATAGTAAATATATTTAACTTTTAAAAAAGCAAATTAATTGTTTTTTGTAAAATTAAGTAAGTATTTGTAATAAAGCGCTATAATTTAGAATATAGGAAAATAAAATGGATATTTAGTTATTTTAAAACCATTTAAAATCCAAAAATATATGAAAGTCAGATAACAAGTTACATGAATTTTAATATTGATTTAATTCTTCTATAAATATTTTTTGTTTCTTTTCTAAGCTTTAGATAATATCAGAGTCTAAAATGTTATGATAGTGTGTAAAATGGAATTCCATTATTAGTATATAACTATATAAGTACGTATATAGTTCTATCTAATATCTAATATCCTATAATTTCAAAAATAGACAAAAAGTATTAATAGTCAGACGTAAAACAGAATCGGAATAGTATTAACTAATAATTTTTAATTTTCGAGATGATATACGTAAGAGAGAGATATGCGTAAAGTTTAAAGCTATAGACTATTTTAAAATGCTTGTACAAAGAATTTTAATTTACCTCTGCCTTTTTTATCAATTAATTCGAACGTTACAAGTCAACAACTGATAAAATTAAACAACAAAATTAATGAAACATATAATATTCCACGATTACAGCTGTACGTTAGTT